AAGAATAATTGATGGGACATTTTAAGTGGGGAAATTGAGCTGACTCTCTAGAACTCACTGTTTGGTAGCAACATTACTAAAAGTGGAGCAGGCAAATACTATGCACCTTATAATATGGCGTAACACAGGAGTCACCAAGAGCTTTTTATGTGAAGGTCCAGATAGTCAATGCCTTGGGCATGGAAGGACACGTGGTCTCTTGCTATTATAACGATTATTATAATCATAGTGAACTTTGCAGTTGGAGCTGAGGAGTGACCATGGATAATATGCAAATGTAAGAATGTGACCGGGTTATGAAACTGATTGGGCAAGATTTAGCCTATGCGGTTCACAGAGTCCTAACATACTAGGAAATAGCAACAGTTACGAAGTGCACATTCCAGGAAATGCATGGGATAAAATAAGTTAAAGAATGTATGAAGTTCTGACTAGGACCTTCTATAGGACATACAATCCTTTCTCGAAAAAGGGAGTGGTGGGACTAGAAAGATGGCTCCAGGGCTGCTCTTGCAGAGGACCCAAGTTCAATTCCTAGCACCCACATAGTGGCTCACAACTGTCTGTCACTCCAGTTCCAGGGGTTCTGATGCCCTATTCTGACCTCCTCAGCCACCAAGCACACATGTGGTGCAGACATATGCTCAGGTAAAATGCCCATATATGTAGAGTAAAATGAAAAATAACTTTTAAAAAGTGTTAAAAAAAATAGTAATGAAAGAGGCTCTTACTGGACTGTGGGGAATCAGATAGGATGTTTTTATGTGGAATTCCTCACTGTTAAGTTTATCTTTGGGACAACCTGGGAGATGTGACTCCTGATGCTTTTATGGACCACCTGGCAAAGTATCAGTAGTTGTTGGAAATCAATACCCTAGGGCTGCCGTATTGGCCTGATTAATTTCATGTTTGAAATATTTCATAGTAAGTAAGTTAAAGTTGAATATATGGCCGCATAGAAAGTGAGGAAGAACTAGATGAAAAACAGTCCCATGCAGCTGGAAGATCCCCCCCCCCATGTTCATTTTAATGTTTCTTTTTCCTCTTCTTCAACCGAGGTTCTTTTTTCCAGTGATAATCAGAGTTCTTATTTCCACCTTAGTCTTTGAGACAGCAGTTCCGATTACACACGTACATGTGTGCTGCTCAGCTTTCTGTTCTAACAGAAGTCAAATGACTTCACTCAGCTGTTAATTCTTGGTAATTGCACAGAAAAGGGATCTAGATCTTCCTTTGGTAGTGAGCTTACCACCCAGTGTGACAGGTCTTTTGTTTTAAAATTACGAACAGGGGAAAACAAATAGAGGAAATAAATTCAAAACAGTAAGAATTTATACTTTTTTCTTTTTTTTAATGGCCAGAGGGAAACGCAAGTCCCATAATTAGCTAGAGCTGCAGAGCAGCGGATCAGAACAAATAGCTGCTCACAGGGACAGATGGTGGAATGTGGTCGCGCATCACTCGGCACCACAACCTACATTTTTTTTTTTTTTTTTTTTTTTTTTCCTATCGAGATTCAGAGCTGACTATCAGAGTGACTCATTCCTTTGCTTAGAGGATGAGGTAATGCTATTGTGAGGGGTGATGTCATCTCTACCTGAACTGCATGCATATAGATAGCTGCTCAGGCTCTCCAGGAAAAGCACCATCTGCTTTCATAGCCACAGCCTGAAAGGCTTTGCAGAGATTGATGCAAAGGTCACCAGCCTCAAGTATGACTCATAAGCAGCCAATCAGTGAAGAGCAGGTACTGAAAAAATAAATTTCTAAAATCATAATCCAGAAGTATGACAGAATGATTCAATACTGAATCACAATTCTTTACTGAGTGTTTACTGAGTTGCCACTATTGAAGCTTTAACTCCGAAAATAAAGCCATTTATTCAGTGTGGTCAGTTATCTCAAACCATCTTGGTTGTTTAAAACATTTGCATTAATTGGAGACTAATTTTCTGTTGCTTTGGAGATACATAGGTCTTCCAGTCAGGTGGTTCTTGAATTTCAGCCCACATTAGTTTGACAGCTGCTTTCTTCAGTTAGGAGCCTATGCATTTCCTAAGAACCAGCTGCTGCTTTAGGGGAAAAGAGTTGTTAGTAGAAGAGGAAACCTGTCAAAGGAAATCTCACTGCTCCCCACCCGCTTTGAATTTACTGTAATTTGAACCTGCCAGTCTGTTGTGTAGAATGTCAAATTCCTAACATATGATGGAAGACAAACAACAGTAAATACTTGAATTTTTATTTGTATCTTAAAAATGGCCTACCATCTACATATTGTTATCTCGTAGTATCTATATCACAACACAAATTTGTTTTAAGTCATCTTACCTCCCATCCGCTACTCAGGGTAACACTGATAACTCTTGTCTGATCTAAACTTTACTCTTGTCGTTACAAAGTACTAATATTTCCAAATTCTAATCTTCCCATTTTATTTTTTATTGGTATTTATTCTGTTTTTTTATTGGTCCTAAGTCGGGAATTCCTCAATTTTTTTTTTCTTACCAGCAATTACGATTGCTTTTGTTGTAATAAGATGGTAATGGCTCACCTTGTACTAGATTCCACCTTGGCCCTAGACTCAGACATTTCCTTTTTGGTATAAAATTTAAAGTCTGGACTTTAGGTTTGAGGGTATTAACAGTCACTGGATGCAAACAAATTATAAACGTTTCTGTGCCTGGTCAGTATTTCTACAATAAACAATTTTGAGAACATAATAGAGTCTCAGGAAGTGCATACAGGGCTGGGAATGATGTAGTTCAGGGGCAGAGCACTTACCGACTATGCCTGAGGCCCTGGGTTCCACCCCTGTCCCTGCAAAACTAGATACAGAGTGAGCTGGAGAGATGGCTCAGTGGTTAAGAGCACTGGCTGCACTGGGCAGTGATGGTGCACGCCTTTAATCCCAGCACTTGGGAGACAGAGGCAGGGGGATCTCTGTGAGTTCAAGTTCAGCCTGGTCTACAGAATAAGTTCTGAGTTATGGGACAGCCAGGAATACAGTATAAAAACCCTTTCTCAAAAAAAAAAAAAAAAAAAAAAAAAAAAAAGGGCACAGAGGCTGGGGAGTAAAGCACTAGCCCATTGCCTGGGTGCCTGAGACCTTTGGTTCAGTCTCTAGCACCTAAAAAGGAAAAAAAGCACTGTACTATGGGATGGGAATATTTCTGTCAGCAAGTGTCCTCTGCCAGTATTTTCTTAGCTTTTGAAGCAGATATGTGATGCCAGGTAGAAGGCAGGTAGGGTCTTAGTGGGCAGTTGTATAAGAAGGTGTTCCGGGATGAAGAAACATACTGCCAGTGAATTAATGAGTGGTAGCAGGAATGGTAATTGTTTGGTTAAGTAGCCATGCCAGATTTCTGCTCACACAGGGAAGAGGGAAAGACAGGTGACAGAAAGGTTGATGGATGTCACACAGGACTTTGAATGTCCTCTACAGGACCTTGCGTTCTTAGGATTTAGGGTCTTTAGTAAGAAGATACTAAAGAGTCATTGAAGATTTTTCAATGTTGTCATAACAAGTTTAACTGGCCCAGAGTGATTAATCTAAAAGATACATCAGCTTAGACTGAAGGAATTTCCAGTTGAGGTCTGTAAAGGGGTTATTATTATAACAGCTCAGATCAGATAGAATAAGGATTTGAACTTGAGTATGAAAGAAGTGAATTAGGACCATGGTCTTCACTGTCCTCCAGACCCCCAACGTTTAAGGCAGAGATACAGGAAGCAGAGAGCGTGAGTTGAATGCCAGCTTAGAACTCCTTAAGAAAGCCTTCTGCTTCAGGAACAAAGGCATCCAGGGGAATTCTGGGATAAAGCAGTAAGGCTGGCATTCCTTTAAAGGGTTTGCTTTGTCTTTAACTCTTTCATATTCTCCCTTCCCAAACCTTCCTGTTATCTCGCCACTCTGACAACTCCCTCACTTCCTTCACTGTTAACTAGGCGTATCTTCTGCCTGCTCTCCATGCTTCCACTGTTGTCCTCAGCCTGTTCACTTTCCTGCTGGCGCCTCAATTATGACCAGGTCATTTCTACCCAGAGACCTTCGCAAGCTTGTTCAACAAATGTCAACATGATCTACTGTCTCCTATTGAGAGCTTTGTCCTGCTGTTACTAACTTCTCAGCAGGATCTGCCATGAGTTCTTTATTGACAGCGCCTTCTCACTCAACCCACATTTTCCTCTCCCCCCTTAGCTTTAATCCTACTTTCCCCGGTATGGTCTCCATCGCTAACATATTACATATCATTTGTTATGATGTTTGTCCCTAGACACCAGAATTCAAGCTCCATAAGGCGGTGATTTTTGTTTGTCTGCTTACTTCTCCTGGGCCATCCAGTACTTATGGGAGATAGAGGCAGAGATAGCTAGCCTGAATTCCAGGCTAGCTAGGTCTACAAAGAGAGTTCTAGGACAGCCAGGGCTTAAAAAAAAAAAAAAAAAAAAAAAAAAAAAAAAAAAAAAAAGATTATGTTTAAAGAAGGAAGGGTGACAACATACATAAAATACTTAGGGGGCCTAGTTATCAGCTGTCCAACTCACAACAGATTTGAGAAAGTAAATGAAGAAGAGGGACACTGGTTGATTAACCTCCCTTTTACCCTGTGTTCCTTTGATCTGACAGTAACTGGCTGGAATTACATAGGCCTAGAAAATAATACATGTTATCCATTTACTAGAAAACTATGCTGTTCTTTAGCATATTAATGGCTGTAAAAACAACAGTAACCTTTTTTGACTTCACTGGATCCCCAGGCTCTCTTTTGGCAACTTACTCATCAGTATGAAACTTTCTTGACCCATAGCAGAGTTTGAGAAAAAAAACATACTGGACTGACTATCAGGCCAGGGGACTGTAGGCCTGTGAAATGATGGAAGGTTCTTTTCAGTTACTTCTGGTTGATAGACTTATGTTGTTCTATGTGCTGCTCAAAACCCTAGACCTTAGTTACTACTCTTCAAGGTATGAGGCTTTTAAAAGCCAGCTTTTGTTTTAGGTGTTTGGGAATAAGATGATAATTCCTTCCCTGGACGGCGACCTCTTCCAGTGGGACCGAGAGCGAGAGAGCATGGAGACTGTTCCTTTCACTGTGGAGTCCCTTCTCGAATCTTCATATAAATTTGGAGATGATGTTGTTTTGGTTGGAGGAAAATCTCTTACTACGTATGGACTCAGTGCATATAGTGGAAAGGTGAGTGACACTATGTGTGGGATGTTGGAAAACAATAGGATAAAAGAATCAGGGGTTTTAGTCAGGAGTCTCACAATGTAGCTAGCCGGCCTAGAGCTTGCTGTGTAGACCAGGCTGGCCTTGAACTCGACAAGATTTCATGTGGGCAGTTGAGCTTTATTGTAATTTCCCCCTGAGGATTGTTGTGGACTATTCCTTTACACTGTGTGAAAATATGTCATTGTGATTGGTTTAATAAAAAGCTAAATGGCCAATAGCTAGGAAGGATTTTGGGGACAGAGAGGATGCTGGGAAGTAGAAGGTAGAGTCGCCGGATGCAGAGGAAGCATCATGGGAGTGCAGAGAGATGAGGTAATGAGCCATGTGGCAGCAAGTAAATTATTAGAAATGGGTTCATTTCTGTTATAGGAGCTAGTTAGAAACAAGCCTAAGCTGTCAGCCAAGCTTTCATAGTTAATAAGAAGTGTCTGTGTGATTCTTCGGGAGCTGCAGATGGGACAGAAAAATCCACCCACAGAGGACAGAATTTGTTTTAATAAGACTTTAGAGGGCTGGAGAGACAGTCCAGCTGTTAGAGGCTCATAACAAAAACTACAGGAGTGAATATCTGAGCCAGGGTGCCAGGAGGAGAATGAACTAATATGATCTGCTGTGCTAAGTGCTTTTGCTGAGCCAGGGTGCCAGGAGGAGAATGAACTGATATGATCTGCTATACTAAGTGCTTTTGCAGGGCGTTATTTTTGAAATCTTCATAATATTCCTAAGAATTATGCATTTTATTCACATCTTTATAGGTGAAGAACTCTTCAAAGATTAGTAATAATCCTGATGATAAGAGTCATTGCTGCTTGTTTATCTGGTAGAAACCCTATGCTCACAAAACAGATAAAGAAACTGAGTTTTAACCGATTCAGAAACTCCAAGGTCAGATTTGCCTTAGATCAGGTTGATAGCAAAGTCATTAATGACCTAGATTCTCTCCAACAAGGGATCAGGGATAAACCCAGAATCAGCCTGCCTGAGATGGAGTCAGTAATGTAAATCCATCATTAGGAGTAATTAATTTAAACCATCGTTTGTAAAACCCATCTTAGCCCCTGGATGTGTAAACATTTTCTGTGTAGCTTTACACTCTGAGAAAGGACAGGAATGTGACTCCTTAGGTTCCCACAGCTCAGCAGTCCCTCGTCCAGGTGCTGGGCTCATCACACACCTCTTGGGCATGCTTTTTATGTCTTCCATGCTATTCAGACAGGCCAGTGTTGCTTTTTTCTAAAAAGCAAGGGCTCAGTTTTCAGTCTCCCCTTATGTTAGTATTCTCTGTAAAACAGCTGGATTGGACCCAATCACCTGATTCTCTGACTGGCTGGATGTACTGCTACCAAAAAGTCTGGGATTCCAGCATGTCTTCAGCCTTTTGTGAGGATTTTGATTTATATCAAACTGAGGAGCCTCCTTTTTTCCTTAAGCCAAAAGGTATTAGAAACGGTTCAAATTTTTCAAAATTGTATACATAATGCTAGATGAAAATTGTGGGGCTGATTAATTTTTCAGCTCATCTGGAATTTTAGTAATGACATTTTTGCAAAGATACCATTGGTTATCATTTCTTCTTGTATATTCCATGAAATTTCCCCAAATAGGGCTCAAGTTATGTAAACCCTTAAAACCACTCACTCACTGAAATAAATATTATTAGAATTTTCATGGTTCTAAATAATTCATGTTAGATTTCTAAATCATCAGTTGGGGGTACTTTTATGCACTTATAAAATTTCATTTTACTTTTTAAAATTATGAGTGTGGTGGTGCTTGCCTTTAGTCCCAGCACTAGGGAGGCAGAAGCAGGTGGATCTCTGAGTTCAAGGCCAGCCTGGTCTACAAAGCAAGTTCCAGGACAGTCAGAGCTGTTACACAGAGAAACCCTGTCTTTTAGAGAGAGAGGAGAGAGAGAGAGAGGAGAGAGAGAGAGAGAGAGAGAGAGAGAGAGAGAGAGAGAGAGAGAGAGCTTATGCTGGGCATGGTGACACACTTTAATGCCAGCATTTATGAGGTAGAAGCTGGTGGATTTCTGTGAGCTCAAAACCAGCTTTGTTTTTCAGCTGAGGTATATCTGTTCTGCCTTGGGGTGTCGCCGATGGGATAGTGATGAAATGGAAGAAGAGGAAGACATCTTGCTTCTGCAGCGTACACAGAAGACTGTTCGTGCTGTTGGGCCTCGAAGTGGCAGTGAGAAGTGGGTATCAAAATATCAGTAATGGCATTTTTTAGAAGTTTTGGTAGCTGGGCATGGTGGCACACTTTAATCCCAGCAGAGACAGAGCAGAGTTCTGGCTATGCAGGGGAAAACCTTGGGTATATGGGGGGGGGGGGGGACTCTTTAAAGCCAAGGTTTCTCACAGACTTTCCTTTATAGAGTTTCTATGAATTATTTGTTAACCTAAAAACACAATACACTTTTAAGAGAAACAAATGCCTTCCTGTGTTAATCCCAAAGATGCAAGGAGAAAGACCACCAACCCAAATCATCATGGCCAAGTTAATTAAAGCAAGCAGTTAAATAAAGCAAGCTTTTTTATTTGTACATACAGGCTGTCTCCCCCTAAGGTGGGGTTTGAGAGGTCTGCACTAGTCCTGAGGAAAACAAGGTTTTTATAGCTCAGGAGTGGGGATGTTTCCAAATGGGGGTTTGGCATGCAAAAATAGGTGGGGTTTCAGACGCAGAACATAAACATAACAAGTTAGTCATAACTGCCTCCTGAAACAAAGACATCATTGCAAGTTGGTAGTAACAAGGTAGTCATAACAACAGGTCATCATGACGAGGTAATCATAACAGCTTTGAAACAAAGGTTGGGTTGCAAGATGGTTATAACAACTTTGGAAACAAAGACATGGTTGCCATTTCCTGGAACAGGCAGTACAGAACCATTTACAGTTAAGGTTGCAGGTAGGGCATAGCCCAACCCTTGAGAAAGAGATTTAATCATAAACAAGAATGAATCTAGTTTATCTTTACTATAAGATGGTTTGTAAGCCTAAGGTAGAGGCAGGCTGGTTCATCGCCTGCTTATAGTGAAAAAACCAAGCAGCTTTGCATTGTGTCAATGACACTTGGCATAGTAAAATGACTGAGAGAAGTTATTTGATGGAGGAAACTCTTAACACAAAGTTAATTGTACTCTTTGATTGTCTAGTGGGCTGCAGTTCCAGCTCCCAGTTTTAGAATAATCATCTACTGTGCTTTAAAAGTACTAGCTGTTAGCCAGGCGTTGGTGACACACGCTTTTAATCCCAGCACTTGGGAGGCAGAGGCAGGCGGATCTCTGTGAGTTCGAGGCCAGCCTGGTCTCTAGAGTGAGTACCAGGATAGGCTCCAAAGCTACACAGAGAAACCCTGTCCAAAAAAAAAAAAAAGTATTAGCTGTTTGTTTGATCTAATACTTTTTGTTTCTTCAGATAATGAACCCTTTATGTAATGTCTCCACCTAAATTTATGATTCAAATATTAGATATGCTGATCCTCTGTCATGGCCAGACTCTCAGCCTGATACACTAAACTCTGAGTTTTCTGTGTAGAAAAAGAACACTCATTTTAGAACCCAAGTTGATCTTTGAAAACTGAACCAGACCTGCATCTGGTTTCGTCATCTGATGAAATAGAATTCAGGCATCTTTCCTGAAATTTGTTTTTTTCAAACCTAATTTAAAAATGTATCTTTTCGGGGCTGGAGAATGGCTCAGAGGTTAAGAGCACCAGCTGCTCTTCCAGAGGTCCTGAGTTCAATTCCCAGCAACCACATGGTGGCTCACAACCATCTGTTATGAGATCTGGTTCCTATTCTGGTGTGCAGATAGACATGGAAGCAGAATGTTGTATACATAATAAATAAAATCTTTTAAAAAAGAATATATTTCTTCTTTCTATTTTTGCTGGCCTGTGAATAGTGCTTTGCATTTACCTGCCGCTCTTTATCCTGCTAAGGCTGTTAAATCTGAGAGCTCATGGGAGCTTGGCCACCTGGGAGCAGAAGTGAGCTTAGCAGTTTTGTGAGTTACCAGACCCAAAAGACTAAACTCATTTTGTGTGTGTGTGTGTGTGTGTGTGTGTGTGTGTGTGTG